CAAAAATAAAACTATCTGATCTAAACTTTACTAACAGTCAAATCTATTTTAAAGATTTTTTAAATGGCTATTAATTAAGGTTCTCTCATCCTCTGGAGCAATCACTGATCATGCCAAGAAGCCACTTTCCAAATTTGCTTGGAATTAAAGAACTGTTCCTTTCTTGCCAAATTGTGTAGTTCCTCCTGGGCTTCCTCTAGACAGTTCATGATTAATGCAATTTACTTTCTTCTTTTTTGAAATAATTGTTTATTTTATTTTATTTGTTATTATTATTGTTAAATTTAATCAGAGAGAAAGAAAGGAAAAATGAGAAAGCAAGCTGCAAGGTCCGGGACTTGAAGCATGGCTGGCCATGTGAAAGTCCAGTGCCTTACCCACCAACAGCCTCAATCAATTCACTTTCATTGTAGAGAAAATTCTTACAGTGTTCTCATTCATGAAAATAAAACAATCAGAGGCTTCATAAACAATGTCATTCTCTGACATGATTTCTTCAAAAACAGAAAATCACTTTATATGAAGTTTAATTAAGACCAAATACAATACAAATGGTCTCTAACAATTACTCTTCAAATACAGGAGACATATAACTTGACATTATTTTCTACTGGCTTCCTTGGTTCTTGGCCAAGAGTGAGGAGGCTTTTGAGGAGAAAAAGAATGCTACTATGGGGACTCCAGGAGAGTGTAGTTGCAATCTGGCACTTGGCAGAAATTTTAGAAAACGAGTAAAGCTTTTTTCACAATTCTAACTCTATAGGTAGGGTCTGTTTACAAACTACAGGAACTTTAGAATATATTCTTTAAGAAACACAACCCTTAGTACCCTTAGTAGTGTGATCTACTATAAATCATTGAGAAATAACAATGAGGCAACACTGAAGATTTTAAACTTATTTAGATTTTTAGGTAAATAGTTTTATATCCAGAAAAAAAAATATTTTAAAGGTAAAGAGAAAAAAAAAGCAAAGCAGAAAGGAATTCATAGCTATTTAGAACAAAAGTCAAAACCTTTCAATTCACTAAACATAAATTAAAAACTAATACTAAAAGGAAAAACACTACTAAGCCTCCATATAAGGCCAGAAAAGTCCAACAGGTGTTTGTTGTTAAGCAAAAGCCATAGAAATAATGGAGTAAAATCTTTATTATCAAGCGAACATCAAATAACAAAACAAAAATCTCTCCATAAATAAAATGAGAACTCATTTTAACTTAATGAATCTAGTATAGCACTTGTTTTTCTCAAAGGACTGAAACAATTTTAACCCCAGCTGCCACCTATTGCATCTAACAATAGATTGCTTGAAGATGTGTCACTTCTGGTGGAGCTATTCATTTCACCTAAACTGCAGAGTTTAAGCCTCAGAATAACTTTATCACCTACAGACCACATGCAGACTAAATGCAATATTTGTGTCTGATTCTGAGTGGTATCTTATATCAAAAATGCTCTTAATTATAGCTCTTGTTTCTCAAGCTGCTCTTTCAACTTGTCAGAGGCTGCCTATAGTAACTAAAATTGGATTCATGCAGAAAAATATATTTTAGGAAAACATGTGCAATAAGCATCTATGCATCTGTTAACAGTAAAAGCAGAGGGCAGTACGTTGCAGGGCACATAAGATCAGGTTTTAAAATTCAGTAATTAACAACACTCACTTTTTTTTTTTTGGAGAGCTTTTTGCTACAGGGCACGTGCGCTCTCCAGAAAGACAGAGACAGAAAGCAAGAAATCACCCCCCTGGGGGGATGGCCATGACACAACTCCTCCTCCTGTCTCCTCTCGGGATTTTGGGCACACACACACATGTGCCTGGTGTGAGTTTAAGTCACCAGGTCCAGGACTTGAACTGCAGTAGACTACATGGGAGCTCAGCGATGTAGCCATTATGCCATCTACTGGTCCCAGCACAACATTCACTTTGAAGCATTATGGCAGTCTTTTAAAGCAGCACACCACAACAGCACAGTCATTTCATTTGTTCAACAAATATTTACTAAGCATCTCTATGCTGGGTACTAAGGCACAATGATTAGTAAAAGACATATAAAGTGCTACAGCTTCTAAAGCTAGAAAGCACAGAGGTTATAATGCTAAAACCTTCTAGGGTCATCCTAAATAAAGTCATCCTCTGATTTTCCCACTAGAGAAAGTCATCCCTATAACTCCTACCCCAATCACAAGGGGATCGAAGCAGATGAGAACCAGAGAAAGAGGTAAGTAACAACTGGCATTAGGGGTAAGAATTGGAAATAATCTAAAACTTTCTCCAATGCTTCTTTTTCTTTTCTCTTCATTGATCATAAACATAGGATGGAAAATGAGAGAGTGTCCTGGGTTTAACTAGGTTAAGATCACTGGTAACAGTGTGTCTTGGTTATGAGAAACAGAATAGAGTTGATAGGAACTTATAGAGAAAGGTTAAGACATTACCAAGAGTAACAACAGCGGGAAGGCCTGCGAATGTGGCAGAAATGAGTCATCAACTGGAGTGAACATTTTTATGTTATATACACATTGGCAGAGGAGTCAAAAAATTAGGCACTGTTGAGAACACACTGGAGAAATCCATTCAGATTGCTCCACTGACTGCTCCTCGAATATGGGTTACACAACATGCACTGACATGGGCGAAAAGTGAATTCTGCACCACTGGAGCATTTGTGATGTCATGTCAACTGTAAGGTGTTACACATAAATACTAGCTTTTCCAACTTGATCCATCTGCTCCACAAGCAAGAGTGAGCAAGAGAGAGAGCATGGCCCACAGTTTCTAAGCTGCAGTCCCCCCAGCCCCAGCTAGCCCCAGACCAAGGGCATACACATGCCTAGCATACTCAGGAGGTATCTGGATGTAACCTGAAGCCCTCCTGTGTGAGCCAGTCCCACACAGTGTTGCTTAGCTGTGCCACTGACTGGCCCACAGATACTTGTTACTAATCATTTATTCTTATTACAGACAGGGCGACTTTGCTTCTGACAGAGTGATGACCACCGAAGTCACACAGTTATGATTAGTGGCATGACAGGCAAGGGCTCAGGCAATGAACTTTACATATGTGACTAGGCATATGTCAGAGTCACAAGCGTGTGATTTCCAGGGAAGCCATAAGACAGGCTCTATCCTCCCTTAATCAGAAGAGAACTGCCTATGTGCTCTGGACAAAGCAAAACCTCAGGAAGTTACTTACTACACATACTACAAAACTTTAGGGAAAACAAAAAACAGTAAGTTTCAGTGATTAATTACCTTGAGGCACACCTAATTAGATAGAAATGTCAGTCTTTTACAGTCAGCCTTGAAAGACAAATTAATATGTCACTCAAAACATACAGGGGCAGCAGGTGGTGAAGTTGTTACGGTGCTGGACTCCCACAAGGCTGTTCTGGGTTTGAGTCATAGACCTGGTGGTTTGAAATTCACGTCAGATATATGTGTGTGCGTGTCCAAAATCCCGAGAAGAGAATGGAGGAGAAAGGATTGCAGTGTGGCCATCTGCCCTGGAGGGTGATTTCTCACTTTCTCTCTCTCCGTCTCTCTCCCTGGCGAGTGTATGCACCCTATATCAAAAACTAAAAAACAAACAAAACAGCTAGGATAACTTGAAAAGTTTAGTAAGGTACTTTATAAGCTCTTTATTAGTGATATTTAAAATGTACATCAGTATAACTTCTCATACGAAAATCTACTCAGATATTTACTCAGTTGCACTTGGCAGGGATTATAATTTCTTCAACATATTCAAGTCTCACCTTCTTTGATAACTTCCCTTCACGTTTTGACAGCATCATCTTTCTACTGTTTAGATACATAACTTTAAGCTCTTTTCTTCCCCTGTCCATACATGCTCTTGAGACAGATTGGGAAAAATCCTTACCACATTGTAAAGGACTCTTAACACTTGAAATGAGTTATGCCTTCTTGTATTTTTTTTTTTAATTTATTACTTTCTTTTTAAAATTTTTAAGGTTTTGTCATAGGGCGCATGCATTTGCCAAAGAGAGAGTGAGAGGGAAAAGTGAGAAATCACCCCCCAAGGGAGATGGCCATACTGCAATCCCTTCTTCTTCATTCTTTTCCTGGGATTATGGGCATGCACACAAACCACTAATTCTGGACCCAATCTGTGGTTGGCCATGTGAGAGTCCCTCATCTTAACCACTATGCCACCTATTGGTCCTGTCTCCTTGTATTTTTTTAAAAATAAACTTTACAGAAAGTTTCCATATGTCCCCTGCCCCCCACAAACACAACTTCCCCTACCCCCTGTATAGTAACAGATACAGAATACTTAAAAGTAAGGAGGGGCCCAGCAGGTGGTGTGGTGGTTAAGGCACTGGACTCTGACATGGCTGACAGTGGTTTGAGTCCTGGAACTGGCAGCTTGAAAATCACACCAGTTGCATGTGCATGTGTGCCCAAAAGCCTAGGAAGAAAATGGAGGAGAATAGATTGTGACATGGGCATCTCTCTGGAGGGGTGATTTTGCATTTTTCCTCTCTTGCTGGTAAGCACATGTGCCCTATGACAAAAAATCTTTAAAAAGAAAAGAAAAAGAAAAACAAAAAGAATACTTAAAAGTAAGAATTCTTTATCTGGGGCCCATGGAGTCCATGGATGGTATCATGGGATCCTTGACTTCTTAGATATTATATCCAGAATTTTGGCATATGGTTGTATACATGTTTTGGGAACTGAGGTCAAGTTCTCAAAGGGATCAGCATTCAAAAACAGCTAAGGCCCAGTAAAAGAATGGAGTTCAAGGTCATGACATCATGTAAAGAGACTAGGAAAACTATGTTAAGGGCAGAAAATATTCACCAGTATTCCTAAAATCACACCACATAGTTGGCTACATATAGCAATTATTAATATATTCCTCCTTCAGCTTCAATGAGAGCTGTAGAAATACCGTCCTTAAATTCCATCCAGTGAAACCACTTTCAAAACATATAATGACCTCTCTCTCTCTTTTTTCTTATTTTAACATACCTTTAAAGCTTCTATAACAAGGTCCCTTGCTTCAAGCTCTCCTTCAAGAATACTGAATAGTGTCAGCAGTTCCGGCTTACTGAGTTTTTCCAGATTCATCCTGAAAGCCTAAACCAAAGACAATAATCAGACAATCTTCAGAAAACAGAGTTAATTTGATGTAATAAAAATTTAAAAATAAAGACAGGTAGAAAACAGCAATAATTACAGAATAAAACACTTATTAAAAATGAAATGGTTATGATTAAATAGATAAGTAAGAGCTTTCTGATGTTCATCACAAACTGAGCAGTAAGAGAAAATAAAATTCTATTGATTTCATCACCACTCACAAAGATCAATTTTTTATCATCTCTCCTCCATGCATTTTTACAAACAAATATAGAAAGCCTCAGAAAGAATTAGTCACTAATCTGTTCACTAGACATTCAGGCAGAATTAGTTGTCAATGAATGCTATTTCACTGAAAAAATGTTAGATCATGAAAAGTTCTCCCAGTTTTAGATAACCGAATTCCAAAACTGTATATAAAATATTCTAGCATTCCTCTTCAGTTGGTTGAAATAAAATTTAAGCAAACATAATGTTTGGTGGGAGTATGGGAGAAATTTATCTTTACATTTTGCCTCATCTTGGCCCACTGGTGGTAGCAAGGCCATGCTTGTAGACAGAAGCAGCTGTAGGCAGGCTGAGGCCTTGTGGGAAGCCTACTTAAATTCCCTGCCCTTAAAGCTGGCAGGGAGGCTTGTTACTTGGGAAACTAAGGCAGGAGGATTATGACGTAACAAGAACCGAACTAAAACATTCTTTTAAAATTTTTAAAATAAAGTGTTAACTTTCATAGAAAACAGCTAACAGTATTTATCCATCATATAGTAAAATAGACTTGAATGCGACCATATGCAAATATACTTAAACGACTTCTTAAAATACTGTTTAAACATCTTAACTGGCTAGGCTACTACAAACCGAATCTATTTGGCTTAAAAAGTTCACATTTCTATGAGGATCTGCATGTTCTGGAATATGTTAAATGGCAAACTGCATGGCACAAACTCAGTCTTTCTCACAAACCACAAACAAACAGAAGTCAGACTGCTATACAGTTTTGAGAAGGCCTTCTGACCAGTTTGTATGGTACGATACATTTTATAACTTTCAAAGAGCAAACAATGCTATTTCTCTCCCACTTTTTACTTCCAACTCTCATATATAGTCTTCTTTCAAGTGAGTCACGAAACGACTACCTCATATACCCGCCACTCTTAAACTTAAGGGGGCACATCTCTAAGTCAGTGACTCCTTGCCGAGCCACTGCCGTTAAGTGAAGAACATGTACAAGATGCATGCTGCACTGTGTTGTTAGACTGTGTTCCAGGACACACACCACACAAATCTTTCATCACGAAGTAAAATATCCCCACTGCAATCTCAGCTCTAACTGCTAACTTTCTAACTAATCAATTTTAGCAACTAGTAAGTAGTTCTTACTTTAGTATTAGAGAGGTGTCTTACAACAGTTATTTTAAAAATAAAAAACCCTTGGGATGAGCAGATGGTGTAATGGTAACGTTGCTGGATTCCCACGCAATTGACTGCAGTTCGAATCCTGGACCTGGCAGCTTAAAACTCACTCCAGGTGTGTGTGCATGTGTGCCCAAAATCCTGAGAGGAGAACGGAAGAGAAGGGATTGAAGTATGGCCATCCCCCAAAGGGGGTGATTTCTTGCTTTCTATCTCTCTGCCTCTCTGGCAAGCACATGTGTCCTATAGCAAAAATCTCTCTTAAAAATAAAAGTAAAACAAATAAATAAATAAAAATATAAAACCTGGGGGCCAGCAGGTGGCATGGTGGTCAACGCACTAGACTCCCACATGGCTGACCACAGCTTGAGTCTTGGACCCAGAGAGACTCTCATTTTCCCTTTCTCTCTCTTTCTGGTCAAATTTGAAAAATAAATAACAAAATTAAATAAATAAAAAATTCTTTAAAAACAAAATAAAAATAAAAAACCTCAGACCTCAGCACTCCCCCCCCCCAACCTAATGAAACTAGGCTGAAGTAAGATGGTATGTTGGAAAGAGCACCTGGCTTTCAGTCAGATGCCAGGTTTATACCTACCCAACTGTGTGACTGGGTAAGTTTTCGGATTCTGTTTTCTTATCTGTGAAAGGGAAATGAAGATTTCTAAATCCCAGGGTTGCTGTGAAGACTGAGTTAATGAAAATGCGAAACATCTTACCAAGTTCTTGATATCAACTAAGTAATCCTTTATTTATTTAAGTTTGTTATAGGGTGCATGCACTCACTGAAGACAGACAGGGACAGAAAGAGGGAGAGGGGAAGTGAGAAATTATCCCCCAGGGGAGGTGGCCATGCTGCAATCCCTTCTCTCAGGATTATGGCCATGCACACGTCCAGTGTGTTTTTCAGGCTGTTGGGTCTAGGACTCAAACTGCTCAGTAAGCCATGTACGATCCAGCTGCCTTAACCTCCGCACCACCTGCTGAACTAATAATCTTTTAATTATTAATGACTACCATCCTTTCTCATTTTTCAAAAGATTCTATAATAAGAACGCATTACCAAAACTGGAGGCAGCCAATGATCAATGACCTCAGAAATATCTTCAGCTGGTCTCTGTGGTTGGGGACCCTAAGTGAAGACTGATGATAGAATCTTGGACAGAAAACTGGTGAGGGCGCCAGCAGTGGCTTGGCTGTTGTGGGCACTGGACTCCCACATGGCCAACAATAGTTTGAGCCCCGGACCTGGCAGCTTGCTTTCTCACTTTCCTCTCTCTCTCTCTCTCTCTCAATCTCTCTATCTCTCTTGCTTTGTCACTCTCTGGTCAAATTAAAAATAAATAAATGAAATTAAACAAAATCATTCTTAAAAAAAGAAAAGAAAACTGGTGAGGAGTTTGAACTACTTGTTGAGTCACACTGGTTTCTTAGATGAGCTCCCCCTTTGTAATAGTTCCATGTTTTTACTTCCCTGAGAGAGATAAAAGGCCCAGGACACATCCTGTTGTTTAATGCTCTTCCTGTTCCTTCCTGTGATGTTAAGCAGAATAATCAGCACATGATAAAGGTCCTCCATAAATACCAACTCCATAAGGTCGGACGGTAGGAATAGAGCTAAAAATGATAGTGTTCACCCATATCACTCTCATACCTTCCAATCGCTATGGTCCTTAAATACTCTTAAGTAGTGATCTAAAACTGTAGCTTAAAGAAGCAGTGCAATGTAAGTAAAACTAAGACACTGAGAATGAGGATTGCCGAAGTTTAGTCTCAGCTCTGCCCATGAGTGACTACATGGCTGGGAGGAAAGACATTACCCAGTTGTTCTGGCCCTGAATTTCTTAACAGGAATACAAAGCAGACTAGATAATCCATAAAGTCTTTCTTGGTTCCACTCTAAGCTTCTAGGTAAAAATCAATTATTATTTGTTAGGGAGTCCAATTAAATAAGAGGTAAATATATAAAGAATTAAATCAGACTGTACCAAAATCAAAGTCTTTGATATCTTCTGGTAAATAGAAAGACTCATAAAAGAGTAAAATTGAGGGACTGGCAAGTGGTGTAGTGGTTAAGGGCGCTGGACTCCCACATGGCTGACTACAGTTTGAGTCCCAGACCTGGCAGCTTACTTTCTCTCTCTCTCTGTCCCTCTCTGGTCGAATCTAAATTAAAAAAAAAAAAAAAAAAAGTTAAATAAAATATTTTTTTAAAAAAAGAGTAAAATTGAAACAATTTTCAGAGTCACTTTCATTATAATGCTCCAGTCTAGGTTAAAAAAAATTCTATTCTTTGTCAATAACAAAGAATAATATGCTTGGGCCAGCAGGTGGTATGGTGGTTAGGGCGTTGTACTCCCACATGGCCAACTGTTGTTTAAATCCCGGACCTGGTGGCTTGTTTTCTCACTTTCCCTCTCTGTCTCTCTCTAGTCAAATTTAAAAATAAAAAATGATGATGATGAATAAAATTAAATAAAATAATTCTTAAAAAAAGAACAATAATTATCTCTGTATCACTTCTGCAAACAGATTTTAGTATCTAGAATGGTTTATTGATATGTACCAAACATTTAGCTTCGTGTCTACATGAAGTGAATACAGAATAAACATTAAACTGGGCCACAGCTGTGTAACTCAAGATAGTAAAACTGCATTATGTTTTAGGATGGCAATGATCGTCTTCAGGGTGGGTATGGGAGGGAGGCAATACTGACCTGATAGCTGGCAGAGTCACACTTTGGTCCTCAAGTATAAACTCTTAAGGGTTTCTTCAGTTAAGATTCGGGAAAATTAACAAATACATTTAAAATGCCATCAGCATGGTGGAAAAGTGTCCAATCTGCAAAATAAGAAATGTATTGTCCATGTGACTATACTATAAACAATTAGATAAATCCCATTAATATTAACTGTCATTACAATGATGAAGCCTAACACTTGTAGGATTCTTTTTTAGTAATTATTTTATTTAACTTTATTTATTTAATTTGACCAGAGAGGAGAGAGAGAGGGGGGGGAGAGAGAGAGAGAGAGAGAGCGAGAGAGCGAGCAAGCAAGCCACAGATCCAGGACTCAAACTGCAGTTGGCCATATGGGAGTCCAGTCCCCTTAACCACTATGCCCACTGGCTGGCCCCATAGTTATAGGTTAATACTGACAAGAAGAAAACAGCCAGTCCTTCAAATTATATTTTTATGTATAAAAGTATATAAAAGATACCAGGAATCTGACTTCCCTTTAGGAACTAGAAATAGGAAGGTTGAGGATCTATAATTTTTAATTTGCTAGAGGACACATGTGCTCCCTGAAGATAGGATGAGAGTAGGGTAGGGAAGGTGGGCGGTATGTGAGAAAGCACTCCCCCATGGGGGATGGTCATGCCACAATCCCTTCTCCTTTCATTCTCTTTCCTTTCAGGATTTTAAACATGCCTGTACATGCTTTGCAAGTTTCTACAGTCTGGCAAAACTCATGTGAAAATAATAATAATAGTAAAAAAAAAAGTTAAATAAAATATTTTTTTAAAAAAAGAGTAAAATTGAAACAATTTTCAGAGTCACTTTCATTATAATGCTCCAGTCTAGGTTAAAAAAAATTCTATTCTTTGTCAATAACAAAGAATAATATGCTTGGGCCAGCAGGTGGTATGGTGGTTAGGGCGTTGTACTCCCACATGGCCAACTGTTGTTTAAATCCCGGACCTGGTGGCTTGTTTTCTCACTTTCCCTCTCTGTCTCTCTCTAGTCAAATTTAAAAATAAAAAATGATGATGATGAATAAAATTAAATAAAATAATTCTTAAAAAAAGAACAATAATTATCTCTGTATCACTTCTGCAAACAGATTTTAGTATCTAGAATGGTTTATTGATATGTACCAAACATTTAGCTTCGTGTCTACATGAAGTGAATACAGAATAAACATTAAACTGGGCCACAGCTGTGTAACTCAAGATAGTAAAACTGCATTATGTTTTAGGATGGCAATGATCGTCTTCAGGGTGGGTATGGGAGGGAGGCAATACTGACCTGATAGCTGGCAGAGTCACACTTTGGTCCTCAAGTATAAACTCTTAAGGGTTTCTTCAGTTAAGATTCGGGAAAATTAACAAATACATTTAAAATGCCATCAGCATGGTGGAAAAGTGTCCAATCTGCAAAATAAGAAATGTAT